GATCTACAAACTGGTAGTTTCTCTTTTTTATTCTCCAAAGCCATTTCTATGAATGAACAAGTGTAGGAAGTTTTAGCCTTATATGGCTTTATTAGGGTGGTAATTATGCAGATTTATATTTCTTGGGAATGTGCACTCTTTCATACACAGGTGAAGTGCATTACGATGATAATTTATAATCATTCACTGAAGTTAGGAAAGTTTGTTGAATGATGTGGAACATTCATAAAAGCCCACGGTAGGAGAAAAATTAAGAGAAATCTATGACAAGAATACAAAAATGTTAATGCATGAGGCCCATTGTTTCAAAGCAGTCTAACATAATGGACAAAAATATGGGAAAATGGTGACATGACAGGCAATAGATCTGCTTTCAAAAGCAAAGTGAAAACTGGTCAGGCAGGCTCACAAAAGATCACAAAAAAGAGAAATCAGCTTCAAGGAAATCGCTAAAATTTATTGTGTGTTCTGAAATCAAACAATATTTTTTTATGTATTTTCCAGTATGTCTGATCTGAACAGGGGAATTACAGAATAGAAGGTTTTTCTTCCATTGAAACATGAAGGCCCGTCTAAAACCTCTCAGAACCTTGTTGAAAAATGGGTTATGCTCAGAGTAAACCAGTCACAAATATCTAAGTCAAATTTATAAAAAAAAATATGTTATCTAATCAAATTATTTATCTGTAAAAGAAACACTACCCCAGTTAAATATGTTAATCTTATGTTTTTTCGTTGATATGGATGAAAATATAAACAGCTCCATATTCCTGGGGTTCGTTTCATGAAGCACGTTTAACAAATTCTGTTTCAAATCCACAACTTTAAATTGATCTATTCTAAAGTCAGGAACTCTGACTGTTCGGTTTCACAAAGGCTGCTATCAATTAGTTCAAGCAATTTTAACTAGGTCCATTTAAAGTTAACACGTGCACAACAATTATGAAAGGCCATTATCAATGGAGCACCAAATTTGGCGAGTCACCATCACGAGAGGTAACAGGAACTGCCTATTTCACCCCACTGGAACTAGAGATTTTAATGTAGAAATGCAAAAAAATAATAAAAAACAAAAATGAATAAATAAAAAGAGGAGAAACTGTTTTAAAGACAGAGAAGCAGCACTACAGCTACAAAGGAGAGGAAAAAGGTGAAAGAGAAGATTGTTGCTTGAGCTAATGCATAAGTTTATATGACCTGGTCTATGGCAGGCCATTTTTATATTTATTAAAAGCACTCCTCTCTATTGTTCCATTTGTAAATCATTAAAATAAGATTCGGTAACACTTTATATTAAGGTCCTTGTAATAAGCATTAATTAATAGGTAATAAGATCTTAATAAGTACCTACTAGATGCTTATTAACATTATTATGTGTTTATAAGACTATATATGCATTAATAGACTCATTATGATGTTGTTAATAGCAGACTATAACATATTAATAATAGCTTATAAGAAACTTGTTAAGATCTTTATAAGTGTGTGCAAGATGCTTATTAACATTATTATGTGCTTATAAGACGGTATATGAATTAATAACATCATTATAATATTGTTAATAGCAGACTATAAGACATTTATAATAACTCATAAGAAACCTGTTAAACATTGTTGAAGCTTAAGTATATTATTTAAAATAAATCATCCTCAGTATCTTATAAATTTTTAATAACATTACAAACACCAATATTGACTCAACAAACCCAACCATGTCTTTGTCTTCCCGTTAGTAATCTTTTTTGGTTTGATTTATTAACATTATTATATACTTTATTGCTCATCTATTAGAAATTAACTATGCACTTGTTAACCTTTAACTGCGCTTTTTGCAGGTACCGGATCTAAAGCAAGAACAATGTCTTATTAAGGCTGATAAATCTTTTATTTAGCACTGTTATGCCTTTAATAACATATATTTTTGTCGTGATTTATCAAAATGTACTTTATTATGCCCTTATTACAAGTTAGTTATACACTTGTCAACAGCTAACTATGCTTTTTGCAGCTACCGGATCTAAAGTGAGAACAATGCCTTATTAAGTCTAATAAATCTTCTGTTGAGCATTTATTAATGGCTTATGATTTTCACAACTTTCACATCTGGAACAAACAATAACTGCAGGCAAAGAGCATGGAAAGAAAACAAAATTGCTTAACACAACAAATGTTTCAACAGCAAAGCCCAAAAAGGTTTTATTTATTTCTGTGGCTGTCACAAACACAAAGAAAGCAAAAGAAAAAAAAAATATATCTTTTTTTTAAATCACCTACAACTGGCTTTTTTATGTTTTAAAATTGACACTTTCTAACTTTGGGTATTGGGGCATATTATGTAAAACATCCGCATGGAAAAGAACACTTTTGCAAAGTGAAACATTTATTTTTATAATCCAAAAATATAAATCACCTAAAACAGGTGTTTTAAAAAAAAAAGTGCACCCTTTTACAAAATATAACACAAGTGCAACGTAAAACTGTGGTATCATTCTTTTTTTTTTTTATTCCACTATACATTTTACAAAACACTATTAAAACATGTGCAATTTGCACAAAATGTGCACAAAAGGAATTCAAACGTCCCACTTTCTAACAGCCAAGTTTCCCTGATTTCTTCAAGCATCAGAACCTTACTGTCATTACCTAGACAGTTGACAGTAAGATCCACTCCCACTACTTAACCTTCATTTTAGCCTACCCTGTACCTCTTAGCTATATCCTTTAGTAGCCGACCAAGAGGCCCATCTTTGTGTTTCCTGCCTAGCCATTCAGTCCACTCAATGAGACAAAGATGGTCAGACAGTAAGTGTTCAGTCTGGTTACCTCTTTGCCTCCAAACCTGTTCCTTAATACTCCGCCACGCTCGTTCTATGTGCTGTGTATGGGCACCTGTTTGGGGATCTACATACCACCTTGCATGGTTAACAGTCATGTGATTATAGCCAAGTTCAGGGAGGGAACGATAAGCACGCCATTCATCACTAATTATATCTGATCCTATCCTCACATGATGTGCAATCAGGGGGACAAGATCTTGTCTTTTTCTTCTCTCAACAAGACGCAGTACTGGCTTTCCTCTCTTGCCCCTTTGCCTCTGCACTCCAAGCATACCGAAGACCCATTTCCGTCTTTGCCAGGTGCCACCCATTCTTCCTCTGCCGTACTGTTGTGATGATGAACAAGAATCAAAGTAAAAAAAGGAACAGAAACAGCTCATAGGCTGTGATCAACAACTTATAGCCAACTATATAATGTTATGATTACATATAATGCACAAAATGTAATCTCAGAAAATAAAGGCTCACTCATGACTATTATTTTGTTTATAAAAAATTTATATTAGATATATTATTTGGTGGGTAACTTACGCAGTATTTCCAAAAGATGGAACAATTTAGTGCAACTAACTATGTGGTGCGCCAAGAGACAGAGATAAACAGCAAAGTGAGTAGCTTCCCTCAACATAGACAGCAAAGAAAGGTGGAGCGGTGCTGTGTCACTAACCTAAGCAGTCCTAATAAGCATCTTGTATCTTTGTCTTTACGACAATACAGTTAGAGGTTATGCAAAATATGATCATGTCGGCAAAACATAGAAACTACTCATGGGCGTTTAAAAGTTTATTTTCCACTTTTTTCTTAACAAATGAATATTCAAACACTTAAAGAACCTGCAGACACACAAGTATCTGAAAGGGTATGCTGAAAACTTTATGTCACAATTAACCAAACATACATTTTAATGAAAATTCTGTCAACTCCACTAATTAACATGGTGTTTTAACTTTTACCAATCACTCACTCACCATCACAAACTATTTATAGCTAGCCCATTAATACAGCTCTACACACCTTTCTCTTATGGCGGAAGAGACTCTCATCAATTACGACAAATTCATGCCGTCCACCAATGAGTTGTCCTTGTTGTTCTCTCATTCGCTCAACAGCCCTTCTACAGACCTTCCTCAGTTTTTTTGCCATTTTTGAGAGGGTTGCAGTGCTTGCTGCAATACTGTCCTCCATCATATCCACCTGTCTGAGACGCAGGCCCTGTGCAAATCTATAGAAAATATAACACATCAAGAGTTTTGCATTTCCTTAACAAAGTGTTTCCAAAGTAATTATCCAGCACTTTAAAATGTTGTACCTATAAATGAACTGCATCCACTGAAACAACGAAAGTCTGGATTTGCTAAAAAGAGATTTGTCCCTAATTGATTTCACTGTCTTGGTCCCTCGGTGTACTGCCCGCTGGCAAGTCCTTAACAAAAGTAAAAGTTAAATATTTAGAAAAGCACTTCATATTTGGTAAAGAAAAACACAAAATGTAAACATGTTATTGATATGTAGAAAACATCATTACGGTGCATCTATTATTAACTTTACATTCATTTAGAAAGTGATTTAAATTTTACAAGGCACTCAGCAGATGACTATGGTTTTTAGGCTGATTAGTGAAAGAAATGTACTGGTCATTTACTAACATTTGGTATTTAATTTTGTGCCCTACAAAGGCAGACCTGTGAAATAGTTTGGTTTGAGATCCATCTAACAAATACATTTGACATCCCTTCAAACGGCTTCTAAATAACGCATAAATAAGGACAAATGTGCTTAGTAAATAGCTCTAACTGACATCGCCCCAAGGAAAAAGTTATTACCAGCTGTAATGGTCGCTGCCCCTCCTCCTTGTCATCTTCATGTTCTTGTGACAAATACGGCATTTGATTTTTTTAATCAGGAGTTTTTTTTTCTGAAGGAATTTAATTAGCTTCAAAGTTTTCCCGGATGAACTACCTTCAAAAATAAGCTTTCTCATTTTGTTTTGCAGTGTCATTGTGGCAGCAAAGTCACTTCTTTTTTTCTCCACTTCCTTTGCTTTTCGCGGGCCGCTTCTTTTAGCGCTTCTCTACATCCGGGGCTCTTTTCTTCGTGCGCTGCTGACAAGCTTTTATTTTGAAGGCAGACCATGAAACCGACACTTCCTGTTTGGGTCTTTCCGATTAAGCCATTATTCATCTAGCGCATATAATGGAAGGAGTGGCCACAACGTCTACGCCCCAGAGAAGAGTACAAACTCGCGCTGGGCATCGAAAAAATAATGGTGACAAGCGGGGCTGCTGTGATTTGGAGAATGACTCTTCTGGTAAGTCAACTGCTGCTAACTAGTTTTTTTTTGTTGGGCGCTCCACTACGGAGCCCGTCTGGTGACATGGACAGAAGACGATGTTAAGTAGTAGCCACGCGTGGCTAATGCGCGCCTACTACTTAACTTCTTAAAAAAAAAAGACATGTCACCAGACGGGCTCGGTACTCTTCTGTGTTTTAGTGAGGGTAAAGTCAATTAGACTTGCATAAGCAACCTATTCCCTAAACTTTTTTTTTGTTACAAACACCTATGGCTAAAAGGGGCACTTACTTAAATTAAACTGTTTTTTTTTTAAATACTTTAGTTTATGCAACTGGTAACTTACTAACTTACTTTGTCTTCTGATATGCCAATAAACAGGCACACTTGTCTGATTATGTTTTGTTTTTTTGTTAACAAAGAATACCACATGAAAAATAGAATCGGTCTCCGCCAGTCACGTGACTTTTGTTGCTAAGACGCGATTTTAGGTGGAAAAGGCGTAATGTAAATAACCGCAGCATAGCTAAACGAAGGACTAAAGGCCCGTTTCTATAGCAGCCTATCCAAGATAAGTCACTACAGGTAACATAAGCCTGAAAACAGGGGCGGATTTAAGAAAATTGGTCTCCGCCAGTCACGTGACATTTGTTGCTAAGACGCCATTTCAGGTGGAAAAGGCGTAGTGTACCGCGCCCGAGGTAAAGAATTGACGTCACTTGGCGGAGACAAGTGGGTTATCAATATTTTAATGGTACAGGCCTTTGATTCCTCTTTCACTTTATGCAATTTCTTTGATGTGGTTTTTATCTGTGTATTAAACTGTCCCTGTATACCCCCCCCCCCCGGGAAGCATTATCCATGATTAGTATTAAGTTTGAATTTGTGTTTCTGTCAGGTGCTCCCCAAATGGCCCCCACTGCCAAACTCCAGAAGCACACACATGAGCTGGAGCTCGCTAAAATGAAAATAGCTTGTCAGGAGGAAATGATCAAACAGCTAACCAAGGAGAGAGACTTTCTAAAAGACCATCTTGCTCGGAGTAAGTCAGTGGTGTTCACCATTATTTTGAGTATTATATAATTTCTTTTGTTACACTAATCATGGTGTTTTGTTTTTCTTAACTAAATATAATTTGCACTTGTTTTTACACACGTTAACCTGAATCAAGCCCTTGATTATGGAGGACTATGATATAATTAAAAACAAATGTATACAAAAACAATAAATGCACAAAATACAATAAAGTACAAATTAAATTATGTAATGAGACATGTATGTAAATATCCTTTACAATTAGAATATTTATTATTTTTAATAACCACCTCCTTTGATTGTTTCTCATTAAAACTGTAAACTTAATTTGTTAATTGCTTAGTTCTCAAAAGCATTCATTTCTCTGTTATATTTAAAAATTAACAGACAAATAAATGCATTTAAAAACTAACTAGTTATTAAATAAATTTGACAATAATGAGAAATAAATAAATGAGGTGATAAGAAATATTTACATTCATGTCTCTTTATATAATTCTTTTATTTTTTAGCTATATTTTTATGCATCTATTTTATGCTGATGTATTTATGGAGCATGCATTTATTTCTGTATTTATTTTTAATGTTGTTATAGTCTTCCATACTTGATGTCCTAAACAACAGAAACACAATCCTATAACAGTTCAGTATCTATTACGCAATCTATTTCAAAACAGTTGTAATTGAACCCATCTCCTATCAATCATGGTCAATATTTCATTGTATTGTCTTCATACAGCATCAAGAAACATGAACAATGATGACCCATCCCCTGAAGCATTTGCATCACATGCTGACTGTTCTGGATCCTCCAACTCGAGCTCAGATTCATTCTCGACCGACCCTTCCTCAGACTCCTCAAGCTCCTCTACTTCTGATGATAGGAAGAAGAGAAAGAAGAAGGGGAAGAAAGGAACAAGGGAGAGACGAAACAAACGGAGTAGTATTGCAAGAGGTAATTTTATTCATGTAAATAAAACTAACATTTAGAAGATAGATACTGGCTATTTTTGGTGTATGATTTAATGTATTCCATTTTAATGAAGATGAGTGAACTTGCAGGTTAAGGTACCAACTTTAGGCTATGCCCACTGAAAGCTTTTGGGTTGTGTAGTAGTCTTATGAATGGATTACGGTTATTGAATGGAAGATTCTTTATAACACAGAGACTAATATCTACCCTTTCTTCTTCACCATCAGCACGTGGGCCAGATGAGGTAATTGCACGTTACCGTAAAGTGTTGAAGGCCTACAAGAGGAAGAAGAGCATCACTGCTGCTTGCAAAATAGTAGGAGTTGATCGCAACACAATTGCCCTGAATGCACAAATTGCAGAGCTTTCCATCGCTGCCCCTGAAAAGTTTGCAGAGTTCAAAGAACAACATACAAGAAAGCACAAGCTTGGTGATTTTGCTGGGAAATGTGTAGATGCCATCCGTGATGATGCAGATATTGACAGCAGAGTTAAAGCACTTAAAAAATCAGGGAAACTGTTGCCTGTTGGAAAGGGGGACTTTTGAATCGTTTTGTGAAATGTAAAATGTTAAAGGTTTAGTGGCATTTAAAAAAAATCTACCTCAGTTTTTTGTTGCACTTCTTAAATGTGGAAACACCTGTTTTAGCTGATTTTTATTTTGCAAAGTTTGACGGGTAAAAGTTAATGTTGCACTTTGCGAAACTTCCATGTTAACTGATGTCTTAAATAATACCTCCCAATATTCAAAGTTAAAAAGTCTCCTGTTAAAAAAATTTAAAAAAAAGCCAGTTGTAGTTTTTTTTTTTTTTTTTTTTTTTATTGTTCTTATATGGGGTACGTTTCTACGAAAATGTGTTTGTGACAGCCACAGAAATAAATAAAACCTTTTTGGGCTTTGCTGTTGAAACATTTGTTGTGTTAAGCAATTTTGTTTTCTTTCCATGCTCTTTGCCTGCAGTTATTGTTTGTTCCAGATGTGAAAGTTGTGAAAATCATAAGCCATTAATAAATGCTCAACAGAAGATTTATTAGACTTAATAAGGCATTGTTCTCACTTTAGATCCGGTAGCTGCAAAAAGCATAGTTAGCTGTTGACAAGTGTATAACTAACTTGTAATAAGGGCATAATAAAGTACATTTTGATAAATCACGACAAAAATATATGTTATTAAAGGCATAACAGTGCTAAATAAAAGATTTATCAGCCTTAATAAGACATTGTTCTTGCTTTAGATCCGGCACCTGCAAAAAGCGCAGTTAAAGGTTAACAAGTGCATAGTTAATTTCTAATAGATGAGCAATAAAGTATATAATAATGTTAATAAATCAAACCAAAAAAGATTACTAACGGGAAGACAAAGACATGGTTGGGTTTGTTGAGTCAATATTGGTGTTTGTAATGTTATTAAAAATTTATAAGATACTGAGGATGATTTATTTTAAATAATATACTTAAGCTTCAACAATGTTTAACAGGTTTCTTATGAGTTATTATAAATGTCTTATAGTCTGCTATTAACAATATTATAATGATGTTATTAATTCATATACCGTCTTATAAGCACATAACAATGTTAATAAGCATCTTGCACACACTTATAAAGATCTTAACAAGTTTCTTATAAGCTATTATTAATATGTTATAGTCTGCTATTAACAACATCATAATGAGTCTATTAATGCATATATAGTCTTATAAACACATAATAATGTTAATAAGCATCTAGTAGGTACTTATTAAGATCTTATTACCTATTAATTAATGCTTATTACAAGGACCTTAATATAAAGCGTTACCTAAGATTCTTCTTGATAAAAATCCCACTCCTAGAACTCTTACATCTTTGTAGGATAAACTGAATTTTTGTAAGTTAGAAAAAAATATGTACTAGTAAGAATTAAGTTATATATATATATATATATATATATATATATATCTTTACACATTTTAGGTGTCTGTTCTGACATTTATCAGCTTGACTGAAAATGTGTTTATGATATCTGAAAAACTATATATGGAAATAATACAAATGCTGACCAGTAATAAATGTTTATTCTAGATGTGGAGAATGTAATTTTGCTTGGAATGGTCATTTAGCCAAAGTTAAAATGTTTTATTCAGATGTTAGGAATACATATTCAGTAAAACTAGTACATATCAAAATGGCTTGTCTGTTGTTACTGTGATGATATTACGGGATTACAGTATTTATTGAATGGTAGTGAAAAGTAGTGTAGTCTGAAAACATTCTAATCTATTGAACCTGTGGATCATCTAATATGTTCCCCCTTATGTTGATTCAGCCTTCTTTTACACAGGAAATAAGTGGCTGTTTGCAGCTGCGCACTGGATGTTATCATCCCAATAAATGGCTGTTGCTAGTGGTTATCGGTCCCATAGTTGGCTTCAGATTGTGCCAGTAGGCTCATTAGGTTGTTATCATTGAGTGAATCATAATCCAAACCCTAAATTTATTCCTCTCCCCCCCTGGAATTGATATATCTGTGTATGTGTAATCTGAAAATAATTTTAGTAGTTCTTCATTTACTGCCGTCACTGGCTCTCTGACTGAGGATGGCCCTGACTCCAGAGCTGGAAGCATCCACTTCCACAATGAACTGCTTGTCTGGGTCAGGGGGGACCAAAACCGGAGCTGACGTGAACAGGGATTTGAGCTGCTTAAACGCCCTGTCAGTCTGGTAGTTCCAGAGGAACTTAACTTTGCCAGAGGTTAGGGCATGAAGGGGAGCACATACCTGACTAAACCCACGGATGAAACGGCGGTAGAAATTAGCAAACCCCAAAAACCTCTGGAGTTGCTTTCTGTCTGAAGGAATAGGCCACTCAGTGACAGCCCGGACCTTGGCTGGGTCCATATAAATCCGGCCTGGGGATACCATGAAGCCAAGGAAGGTCATGGATGTGACATGAAATTCACACTTCTCTGCTTTAACGAACAGCTGGTTTTGGAGAAGGCGGAGTAAGACAGAACGGACATGTTTCCTATGGGCTGAGAGGTTTTCAGAATAGATTAGTACATCATCAATGTAAACAAAAACAAACTGCCCAATCATGTCACGGAGAACCTCATTAACAAGGTTCTGAAAAACTGCTGGGGCGTTTGTTAGGCCAAAAGACATGACCAGATATTCATAGTGGCCAGAGGGAGTGTTAAAGGCAGTCTTCCACTCGTCACCCTCCCTAATGCGGACCAGATGGTAGGCGTTCCGTAGGTCCAATTTAGTGAAGATCTTGGCCCTCTGCATCTGGTCGAAGGCCGAGTTCATAAGGGGAAGTGGATAACGGTTCTTAACAGACACCTCGTTGAGCCCCCTATAGTCAATGCAAGGTCTGAGGGACCCATCCTTCTTACCCACAAAAAAAAAACCAGCACCAGCAGGGGATGAAGAAGGACAAATTATCTGAGTGAGCCCTGAGTGACTCATTTATGTATTTCTGCATTGCCTGGGACTCTGGTATGGACAGAGAGTAGAGTCGACCCCTAGGGGGGGTTGTTCCCGGTAGCAGTTCAATGCTGCAGTCAAATGGACGGTGAGGCGGTAGGGCTGTGGCTCTGGACTTATTAAAAACCTCTTTAAGATCATGGTAGTCTGCAGGGACCTTAGAAAGGTCAGGGTAAACCTCTTCCACCTCATTCTCTGCAATTAAAAGAGGTTGGGCAGACAACAAACAGGACTGAGAACAGGAGGGAGCCCAACCCATGACCTCCACTCTTCTCAGTCAATCAGGGGATTGTGTCTCCGGAGCCAGGTGACACCCAGGACAACAGGAACCTTTGGGGAGTCAATGATTATGAAGGTCAAAGTCTCTCTATGGTTACCTCCGACTAGCAGTTCCACCGGCTCTGTGACGAGGTGGGAGTGGTTCAACCGGTGGCCATCCAGGGCGAGGACACTGTGAGGTGACGAGCCCGGGAGGAGTCCAATGTTTAGTCCTCTGGCGAACCCCTCGTCCATGAATTCAGTGTCTGCCCCAGAATCAATAAGGACAGACAGGTTATGTGCTTTGGCTGAAACAGTCAAGGTAGCAGGTAGCAAGAGGTCTGGGGAGACAGAGAGTGTAGTGCGGCTCAGGAGGGATCCCCCCCCCCCCTACTGAGCCTTGGCTTTTACTTGACAGGTGCCAATGTAGTGACCCACTGCTCTACAGTAGAGGCAGAGGTTTAATTGACGCCTGCGATGGCGCTCCTCATTAGACAGTTTGCTCCTCCCCAATTGCATGGGTTCAGGATCAGCTGCGCTTTGGAGGGGTGAAGCCTCTGCTGGTGCAGAGAACGACCTGGAGAGAAACTGGTTAGCTGCTCGGCGCTCCCTTCGACGTTCCATAAGTCGAAGGTCAATCCGGGTTGCCAGATCCTCCAAGTCCTTTAGAGACTGTGGGAAATCCCGGGTGGCGAGTTCATCCTTTATTTTTTCATTTAGTCCAGTAATAAAAACATCCATCAGGACATGCTCATTCCAGCGGCTCTCAGCTGCTAAGAGATGAAAGTCAATTATATATTCAGAAACAGACTTATCACCCTGCCTGAGGGTTAGGAGCCCCCTAGTGGATTCACGGCATGGTAGCACGGGGCTGAAAACCCTGATCATCTCCTGGGAGAAATCGTCATATGAGTGGCAGATATCAGAGTCATTTTGCCATTCAGAAGTTCCCCACAATCTTGCCTTACCGGTCAGCAGGGAAATTACATATGCAACCCTGGAGTGGTCAGAGGGGTATGCGGATGGCTGTAACTCGAACTGGATCTCACACTGGGTGAGGAAGGCTCGGCATTGGTCTGGATCGCCCCTGAACAGTTCGGGCGGGGTCAGGCTAGTTCTGACAGCTGCGGTGAGCGTGATGCGGTGACAGGTGCTGACGCCTGCGGAAGCGAGGCGGATGGAGGAGCCTGGTCACGGAGATGTGAGAGGATCTCACTGACACCGGCCTCTAACTGAGAAATAGATCTCTCCACGCCAGCACGCCACTGATCGTCTGGTGATGGATCCATGTTGGCCAGATTATTCTGTAAAGAGACAGAGACTGGATCCAAATAAGCCCAGACAGGTTAGTGACGTTTTTTTGAAGATTTATTGAGAGGGTTAATCAGAAAGCGGGGCTGGATCTGTGTGGGCAAACAGGCTGCAGGAAGACAGGCGGGTAGATTGAGGGAGGTTTACCAGTTTTATCCAGGACGGAGAGGCAGGCAGTCAGGCGGAGCTTTTCAGAGTCAGAGATCCAGAGAGAGGGGAGCAGGCAGGCAGAATCAAACAGTGTTCGGGCAGGCTCGGAGTCAGGGGGCAGATCGGGTCAGAAACAGATAGGCGGTCAGGTTCTTCTTTTGATGCTGGATTATTCATAGCTGGTTGGCTTGAGATAATCTGGCACAGAGGACAGATCTGATGGGGTTTTTAAAGTGCTGGAAGCAGGTGACTCCAGTCAGAGCTGATTGCAGATGAGTGGAGCAGAGCAGGTGCATGGACTCAGTGATCAGGCCAGAATCAGTGCAGAAACCATTACACCCAGGCTAGAAATCACAGCCATTTTAGTCAGAATCGGGCCCAAAATCTCAACACTGCAACTTCAAACAATTATTGTGGCATGAACAGATGACATTAAATAAGCCTTCATGTTGATCAGTTATTAATTAAATGTATCCTTTCGAGGTCTGGTGAAGACGCCGTCATTTTATTTATTGTAATGAAAATTGAATGGCTGCTTAAAACATTTACACAGTAAGGCACCTCTGTTGGAAAACAACCTCACAATTTTTTGT